AAAAGTGGTATAAAGCTTATCAGATCCTCTCCAGATATCACTGAAGGAAATGGGCTGGAAGAGCTGTCCCCACATAGGAAATATATATAAAAACCTGTCAGTGCTAATTTTTTGGTAATGCCATAAAAAATGTACTTTTGCAAAAAAAAATAAAAATAAAAAAGCTGCTGGACAATGTCATTTGTGCAAACTGATCTGAAGTAAAAGTGGAGAGGAAACATTATATCCCACACATTAAAATTAGGTTCACATTACTTGAAATGACTCAGTTAGTAGTATCAAGACTACTTCACTTTCCAGTGCCAAAATAAATTTTTCATAGTCATTATTTCTCTGCTCCAATTCTGAAATAGACCTTTAAAGGTCACATATTGTATCAAACATTATACACAACTTTTCCCACTAAACAGTTCATTCAGGGGTTTTGTTTATCTTCAAGGCCTTCTAAATTAACTGTAGTAAAGTACAATTATAACCAAATTCTTCCTTCTGAGGTACTCAGTCTGCAGATCTGACAGCACCAGTTAAACAGTCATTTTTCAATATTTCCACTGACATAACAGGGAACATTTCTAGTCATTTCAACGTGGGTTGGATGCAAGAAGAAAATAAGTAAATAAATAAATCTCATCCTTCATCCCCATGTTAGGTAACCACAAGAAAAACAAAACAAAAATAAAACAAACTCTGCAGTTGTCAGATGAGGTCTCAGCAACTTTAGCACAAAATTTTTCATGGATATAATTTCAATTTGCATTGGCTTTGTTACATTTACACCACCATTAATATCCAGCAGCATGTAATAAAGCTTTGTGTTCCGTGCTCAGCACCCTAATCCTATTAAACAATGGTACATTAAGAATAGTTAAATCATTTGGTAGTCAGGAAATCACACTGGGTATCATACCAATGGTGTCAATATTTAAGAATGTAAGTAAGAGTAAATATTATTCCCATAGTACTTAAAAAAAGAGAGATTGTTGGCAAGCTGAACATGCAATGTTCCACTGCTAATCTGTCTCAGTTTATCAAGGCTGTGCTCCATTCCAGTATCTGTCAGAAACAAGCTTCATATTTCTGGTGGAGAGGAAGAGGGGAAGTAGGTTTTTCTGATTTGTGTCCCCCTCCCCTTCCCCTTATATTCATAGTTTCTGATATTTCTGCTATTATGTGGAAAGAATGCAGCTAGCTGATCTGCCAGATATTGGTGCTTATGTTGGTTTACCCAGAATCTACTCTTTGGTGCCAGGAGATCACTGAAATCAGTGTTCTATTGAAAAAATCATTGCCTATGGTAATTAGGGAAGTAGAAACTAGCTGATCAGTACTCCACTGGGTCATTACCAGTATATATTGAGAGAACTGAATAAACGCATCACTGACAATATTTAGTGAGATAACTTAATATAGAATGAGGTAACTGAACTCCCCCTTCCTATGAGGGAGAGTCATTCTAAATAGACAAGGGAAGGAAGGGAAGAGAAGAAAGGAAATGTTAATGATAGAAAACTGAGGCACAAAGAGGTTTTGCTCAGTGTCACTCAGGAAATGTTCAAAAGAGCCAGGATTGTTAGATTCTCTTCAGTTGTGGTCTACCATTAAGCCACAAGGTCACCCTACTTTTTGAGTCTTAGAATAGTTAGTTTTGTTTTGTTTTGTTTTGCTTTACCACTAATTTAATATCTCTGACAGGAAACATCTGATTTCAGGATTTGCAGGACAGTTCACACATCTAATAACTCTCTTTGATTCCCAGAATCTTTGATCCCTTTTTTTCCATCAAGTTTTCATTCCTTCTGTTGCTGTTGTTGTTGTTGCTGTTGTTGTTTTGGTTTGGTTTTGGTGTTGTTTTTAAGCAAAGAGCTTTTTTTTGAATAAAATTTCTTTCTGTCTTGCTTCACCGTATTTAGAGGTTCCTGGGATACAGCGATTGTAATACATACTTCGGAAATAGATACAATTCATTCTTAGCCAAGGTAGGTAGTGGGATCATCTGTCACACAGGAAAAGAAATATCCATCTTGTGAATTTTATGGGCCTAAGCACAAGGTAGGCGTGCATTTATTGAAGAGAACCAAGGCATATAAAAGTGAATACCTAACCCCTAGGCAGGCACAAAAACACTGTTCTCTTCAGAAATGAGAATGTCAGTACTTCACAGGGTGTTTCAGTGGAATGGAAGGGGAGTGGTGGAGGCATTCTCCATTCTTTGTGTCCAAGTGCTGCAAGTAGATGAAAAAGATGACAAAAATCTCCTTGGAAAAGAAAAACAAAAACAAAACAAAACAAAAAAAAAAAAAAAAAAAAACAACAACAAAAAAAAACATTTAATTTGCGGTTAGGATGCTTACCTTAAATAAGAAATGTGTAAGGTCACATATCTTTCTTCCACTTATTTGTTGCTTGGTTAATGAGTATTTAATAAAAAGATTATCTAAAAATTATGAACTGTAGGTTGCACGGATCAGCATGCCAACAAGCAAGATAAAAAGATACCCTCTTGCTCTCTGGCCCACTAAAGTCTTGACTTCACAATTTCAACATCACAATTTCATCAAGACAGAGCAGAGTACCCTTTTCTTTTTGATTTCAGATAGCTTCAATTCTGGATATCAGACACTTGCTATGCATGTAGGAAAACCCAGATTTGACTTTCTAAAGAGATGAGAATTGAAATTGTCTTTAATTTTCCCTCAACTTGGAGTTCAATTCAGAACTGGCCTCTAGCAGTATTCAAAACTGCATGACATTAAGGGGGAAATAAATCTCTATTGTCTGGATATATCTTGGTAACAGTTCGGAGAGATGAAGATGGGTGATGCCACACATCTGTACCTCTTATAAAGTCAACAAAACTCTCAAGAAACTTTTATGTAATGATGTGAGAGATGAAGCTCTCGTTGCCTTAAAATACAATAAAACAAAATAAGAGGCACCCACTGTCTCAAACAATATTAGAAAAAAATCCCTATTACACAACAGTTATTTCTAAAGACTATTCATACAGTTGGATCCTGCCACATAGCGTGAAGACTGTCACAGTATGAATATGCTATTCAAGATGCTAGGCATGCTGGCCAAGATCTGCACAAACTGATCTGCTTTGAAGATGAAGAAAATGGTGTCATTTTGCCTTTTGTAATGCTTCAAGGGGAAAAGGATTGAAAACACTTGACAGAACAAAAGGTGAATCAGTATCAGATGGGCTCTAAAACAGAAATAGTTCCAAAGACAATCACACCTTGTAAAATCAAAATGTCACACCTAGTGTGGTGACATGGGTTAGTTTGTATCTACAGATAGAAAGGGTCTGTAACATTGTATATGTAATAACCAATTATAACAATATTCCTCATGTGCTAGAACTCCCTATATCATGACTTGTGAAACCTGTCCAATATACATATATTGTGTCTACCAATCTGTAATATTTACTATAACAGTTTCTTTTCTAAAGTTTGCTGTTTAAACAAGTTCAGCCCCCCCCCTCAAAAAAAAAAAATTAGTCACATTTAGTCACACAAAAAATTTAGTCACACATATTTATATATAATACAAATATATGTATGAAATATTTAGTCACGCATATTTAGTGACACAAAAATATGTGCATACATTATCACGTGAGTTAGTTACAGGGGTAAAGTTACTGAGAACACCAGTAGATCATGTACAGGCAAAAGGTGTAGCAGGATCTTTAACTGCAACAAGAATTTAAAATTGTGTAAACCACAAGACAATGCACTGGGCTTTGTCATTCTTAAAATTCCTCTTTTCACAGGTAAGGTATTTCTGTACAGCTGTTAATGGTATGACATCTTAAGGTTATTGAAAAGGAAAAAAAAAAAAAAAAGGTTTGGTTGGTTGGTTGTTAATCTCCTACAATGTCGTTCAGGAGAGATAATGTAAGGTAAGGATAAAGATAAAGAAATGATGGCAGGTAAGGATAAAGAAAAGATGTGAACAAGCTGATCCAGAAGATTTCACAAGAAGTCTGTGACATCAGGCCAAAAAGTGCACGCAGGATTTACTAAGAAACACTACAATGTCTTTGTCACTTGATCTTCTTCCAGCTCCCTACCCTTGAACCTTGACATGCTGGTATAGGGGCTTGTGAATTGATTAAAATAATTAGGTCTGATGGTTATTTTACATGTCGCTTAGTTCAATTGTGTGGTTTTGTGTTTGTTGTTGTTGTTTATTTTTTAAAAGCAAGGTCTCAGCCTTTGATTTGGAATTCTGACCACATGCACTTCCAGACCCCATTTCCTACTTACCCCTTCAGCCCTTCTGGTTTGACTTGTCCACTTGAGCTCACTCGTCACTCTTTTGACCAACCTGAGTGGCTGCATCATGTCACCCTGTAGTCTTCCCTGTATCCTTCACACCACTCACACCAGTTCTTTCTGTACCAGGTTCCCTGGCTGCTTCCTTCTCCAAGCTAACATTCAATAAAGAAAAACAAAACACAATAAAACAACTTTTCCTAAGCTTCTCACCTCTGCACTGATCTGGATCGGGGTCCTGCAGCTAGATGAGGTTTTCTTCATAGACACTTTCCTCCACCGCCTGGCGTGAGGGTAGGCTCTGTTCTGAGGTGGCACAGCCTTCGCCTAACCTCGTATCGCCTCCATGGCCCTCCGCAGCCTCTGCCTGCCCTCCTGGGACCTCTCTTTAGTCACTTCTGAAATAAAAAGGCACTTCAGCAAAGCCTCCCAGATGATAAAAGTATCCCCTGATGTCTTTAACAAACATTGAGAGGGAGTTGGACCCCTGTTACTCCATGTGTTTTACATTCTGGGGAAAAACTATGCAATCTACTTCATTATCAAAAGAATTGTAACTATCAGCTGTTTGAAGAATTGATACAAATATTTAAAGGAAAGTGGAAACAAACAGAAGAGTGATCTTTATTTATTTATGGAAAGCCTATAGGGACCGTGACACAACCGAAAAACCCGCCCTTTTCTGTGGTAAATGTTTCCCCCCACAAGAAGCACGTGAGATAACCCGGGGGGATTCCAAGCGCGTCAAAACAGAACCGGCGAGTACCAAAAGAGAGGATGCTGCCACCACTGACGGAAAGCACGAAGAGCAGCCGGTACTGCAAAGAACGCCGCCGCCTTACAGCCCCAGCCCCGCGACACCTGCGGGCAGCCGCCGGCTCCGGGGTCGCCTCACGAAATGGCGGCCGAGCCGCCGCCTGAGGGCCGTTGGCGGCGGTTGCGGCCGTTGTGGAGGCGCGCGGCGGCCGCGCGGCCATGGCGGGGCGGCGGCAGGAGGCGGGCGCGGCGCTGAGGCGGCGGCAGGAGCGGGCGCTGCGCGGCACCATGCGCGTCGTCAGGGAGCTGGGGCCCGCCGCCTTCCTGCTGCAGGAGGACGGCCGCCGCGGGCCGCCGCTCAGGGTGGGTGCGTGGGTTGGGGGGTGTGTGGGGCCACACACACGGCTTGGTCCGGGTGTGGGGTGAGGCGGCCGTGGCGGCTGCTGGGCGCTGTCCTTGCAGGTGCTGCTCGGAGCGCCGCACTCGTGCAGCTGCGGCACCGCCCGGGCGGGAGCGAGGCTCTGCGAGCACCTCTGCTGGTGAGGAGGCGCGGCCGGAGGGGACGGAGGGACGGGACGGGGCGGGGGGACAAAGATAAGGCTGGTATCAGCCACTGTCACATCCCAGAGATGGGGACCAGGAGGGGAGAGACGGGTCCTAAGCACCTCACAGCCCCAAGAAGGAATGGCAAAGCAGCAAGGCAGGGAAGGGACAGGGATATATACTCAGAACGGGACTAACCCTTGTATTTTAAACATGGTTTTCCACCAATTTATATGTATTTAGCTGAATTGGCCACAGCAAGATGACTCAGTGTCTCACATCACACACACTACGTGCTCTGTGAAGCCCTGAGATTCTTACAAAGCTGCTCCAATTACATTCTAAAGCTGAATTAACAACTAACTTGATATTGATGTTCTTACGTAGCAGATACTTTGGTTATAAATTGCAGGATTCTTCTGAAAAAGTACCGATTACCAAGAGATCATGAATGTAAGTATTGGCATCACTTTTTTGAGTTGCAGATAGAGTTTACTAATTTTAAATGGATGAAGCATTGTCCTCAAGTTTCAGTCTTGTTCTTCCTCCTCTCCCACCTCCACTTAAAAAAGAAAAAAAAATAGCACTCTTGGACATTTTCCCATTTGTTTCCCTTTTCCCCTGATACAGAAAACTTACATTACTTCACTGATTACAGCTGCAGTCTCGGGAAGAATCAAAATACAAAATAGCTAATCAGTTGCAACAATGTAAGAGAGAAGGAAGAAAGAAATAATTTAGAAAAACACCTTGTATCGAACTTAATCCAGTATTCTCCAGACACTCTCGAGCAGCCACTGACATACTTGGTGCTTTCCCTAGTCAGAAAGTAGCTACAGAAGTACAGCTCATCTTTTATACCAAAATGGCTGTAACAACTTCTCTAGGTTACTCCACCATTTCTACTTTTGCAGCATCTAAACTGTAGTATTTGCTACATGCTGTAAATGTCAAAAAGATTTTGTAATCCTTTACTCGTTTTGCTATTTATCACTTTCTGTCACCCAAACCACAAAGCTTTCCAATACAGACAGTATAAACTGCATGTTAAGAAGCAGGTTCTCAAGTACTTTCTTAGACTTCCTTTTCTAGGACTTGAGTAACTCCAGTAACTTCAATATTCTACAAAATTATTGGTGTAAAGATCTCTTATCACGTAGTAACCATAACAAAACAGCTAAATACAAACCAACTTTAAAGAATGGCCACTATTCCAAAAGATACTTTAAATATATATATATATATACACACATATGAAATCAACCATCTCATACATAGTCAGAAACTGGTTTGTATATTTCTATCTGAACTATATTTGTTAGAAGATTTACTCTGAGGCATAGGCAACAATTTCAGTAGACAGTTGGATTTAATCTTAACTCAGAAAACTTCATACCTAGTTTCTGGCTGAGGAATTATAGCGACATGTGGTATCAGAACTATATCCAGACTGTGATTCAGAGAACAGAGTGATTTGCCAGAACTGCCTGTTTGCAGAGGAATGCCTTACCTTGTATCACTTCCCCCTTCCAAAAATAAGGAAACTTCAAGGAGAGAGCCCTTCAGTGTTTTACTGAAATGTCGGTATTTTGTTGAGATAAGCCTCTTGAATAAAATTGCATAGACAATATTGTAAACATTTTCTGTGCAAGCTGTAAAAAAAACAATTTGGATCATTTTGTAATATATACAATATGTTTCATCCCCCACAGAGAAGGTCCCCACTGCATTTTATAGATGGAAAACTATTAAAGAGCTAAGTAGAGAGTTCTGTCAGAAAAGCTAAAGCTATGTTTACTTTTGCTAGATGCTTGTAAGTCGGGTCTTCTCGAAAGAGAAATTGAGGAGATACTTGAGCGATTGCATCAGAAACCAACACAAAATGCAAAACAAACTCTCCTCTCACAAACACCACATGAAGAGCATGACAGATGCATTCATCAGAAAGAAATTGACAAAGAGGATGTTTGTCCCATTTGTCAGGAGGAGTTACTAAAGAAAATGCTTCCCATCACTTACTGCAGGTTAAGTGCACCATTTATTCTTTGTCTTGCTATATATATGTATATATATAATTATAGAATAGGTGTTACAAGATCTACTAATACTGTTACCATCAATACACAATTAAGAGTATCTGATTGTTATTGTAGCCCTTTTCCAATCTTAAAAATTTAGCAATCATAGGAGTTGAACTGCGGGTAAAGAATGAGGAAGAGAAAAGGAAGAGTGCTTAGTATTGCTATGTGATTTTTCTTATATGCTTATAAAAGATGACAGAAATAGCTATTTGTTTTCTGTAGATACAGCTGTGGTAACAACGTACACATAAAATGCATGAAAATTTGGGCTGACCACCAAGATGAAACTGAGAAAGATTCTGTAGTGAAATGCCCACTCTGCAGGGAAAAATTTGCACCTCTTAAGCTCATTCTAGAAGAATTTAGAAACTCTAATCAACTTGTGACTGCAACAGAGAAAGCAAGACTGGATACGCACCTCGGAATCCCTTGCAATAACTGCAGAGTATTTCCAATTGTGGGAAAGTGCTACAAGTATGTACTTTTAAATCCAGATTTCGACAGTGTTGTGTCTTTGAGTATCTCTCTTAGCTCACTGCTTAATCCTCTGTCTTTATTATAAAGAAGTGACTTCATCTACAGCGTAGAAAGCCCATCTCCAAGCAGTGCTGTATGTATTTGGGATTGGCCTTTTCCGAATCATAAATTTACCTACTACTTTATCAATGTGTTGACTGTTTGCTGTGCTAACTCCTTGTTCTGTTGATGTGGTTTTGTTTTTTCCTTTCAGGTGCACGGAGTGTGCTGACTATCACCTATGCCATGAATGTTTCATTGGTTTCTGCCATTCTCCACATGTTTTTCTTTTTAGACAGGTATCAAACGGGTTTTCTTTGTTGTATCCTATGCTGACCTTTGTAATATTAATTGATTTTGTTTCCCCTTATGCAAATCATGCAGACACTGCATTAAATTTACTTTGCTACAAGCTAAGTGGCTACAGAAAGATAATGAACTAAGAAAAAAAAAAAAAAAAAAAAACACCTTAATCTATGAGCTTAGTTGCCCTCTGCCTGTAAACGTTGCATAATGAGAAGATTTTGGAGGGGCTTTGAGCTCTGCTTGTCCAGGGCAGAAGCACAATGAATCAGCACTAGAGATCTCCCTAATTAAATTTAACTGTGCCTTATTAAATTCTCAGTTGTATTACCCACAACACCAGTTACCTTCTGTAAAAGGCATACCTGAGACAATTACAGGCTGGTGGCAGTCTGTCAGCATGTTTTCTCCAAACGAGTGCTACAAGATCATTGCTCAGAGTCCAGGAATAGAACAAGAGTACAAAGCCCTCAAAAATAACTATCAGTGATAATGTATATATGCAGTTCTACAAATAGTGGATTTGGGGTATAGAAGAGGCAGCTATGTAGCATCAGAGCAGTGAAAAATTAGTCATATTACCAGAACAACCATAATTGGATATACTCACGCCTTAAAAGTTAGTTTTGCTGCCAAATTGTCTTAGGTTTTCCAGAAAAAAAACAGTTCTTCAGGTTTGCCATTCACAAATGACAAACATTAAGAATGTCTCCAAGTTCTAGCTGAAGTAAATTTTTTCTGTTTCAGCCTTTGCAAAGGTCTGAGTAAGAGGTTTCACTTAAGACAGCTAATTTTATTTGCCACACTAAAAATAGTTAGGGAACATATTTGTTTTACAACTTATTCTCAGCCGTTCTTTGTGTTGCTTATAGGTGTTTATATCTTGAGTTCAATTTGTCTCAATCCTTTTGCATGTTACAGAAGAGAAATAAGAAATGGAGAGCTCTTGAACAGCTTTCAGAATTATCAGCCCGAGGAGGAACATATAAAAGCTTTAACCCAGCAAATAATTCTGAAGAAAAGCTATTATATCTTCAGAAGTAAGAACTTGTCCTTTTCTCTACTATTTAGTATGACAAACACGAAACATATTCAGTAACACTTTCTTTAACTGTATCTGAAACAATTTTAAGTACTTTACAAAAAGCAATAAATGTTTTAGTAAGAACATTCTTCTAATACTTCTAATGAAGCAACAAGTTGCTTTAGCATTGTTAAAATTATATATATGGCAAATGAAGTAATTCTTTTCATGTAGCTTAGAAAGTCACAGCACAATACTAACAAAAATTACATTCTAAAAGTGAAAATATCCCTTGTTCAATAGTATTTTTCAAAGTGCCTTCAATTTTTCACTCAACAAATTGGGATAACAAATACAATAAACAAAATTCAACTGACAGCTTTATCATACAGAAACAAAACAGATGATATAGAGAAACAAAAGTTTTTGGTTATCTCTGGATCTGTTACCTCAACGCACAAGGACTCTCATTAGAAAAACAGCATAACCTGATGTAGGTACTGCATGCATAGAAGATTAACATTTTAAAAACTTGGTAATTCTAGGATCATCTCAGAAATGAATCAGTACTACCCAAAGAAAACATTTCTGATATTCTGATATTTCTGATATTATAAACAACTGTTCCAGGTAGTAGTAGTTCTACACCAAGCGTCATACCTTAGAAGATGATGTTCTTATCCTTATCTCATGCTTTTATCAAAAATATAAAAGTAAAAGCTACTGAAAAGGATTACCTGTTGAGATACTTATTCAGACATTATTTACTTCTCATTCAAAACTAGAACCACCAATTACTTCTAAAGCAGACTACAGGATTAAGTTTAGAGTCTGATACCACAATTTCAAGCTGAAGGTAGTTTTGCATGAGAATATTTGGGTTATGAATTCTGAGCTTGGATTTCAAAAGCTCATAACTCATAGCTTTTGTTCAGGAAAATTGATGTAGAAATTATTGCATGAAATCCAATGGTTTACATTATGCAACTGCTCAGGCTAAGTGAACATACTAGTTGGTGTCCTGAGAGACCCAAGTGTCTGTTCATGACTGTCATACCGAGATCAACATCACTGGAATGACTTGCACAGCAGCTCTGGTTTAGCAGACTGGTTAGACTATCTTAATTATTAAAGGTATTATTACAGAGAAGCCTTTGTCAAAGCCAATTTATCGTTCTGAAGTATTCACCTTTAGTTGCTATTTTTCTTAATTCACTGTTATTTTGTTTTGTTTTAGGACTACTTGTACCCCAAAGAACATTGTGAAGTCTTTACCTGTTATTTTAGTTAGCAAACACAGTAATTTACTTGCCCCAGGTATTCAATGTAGACTCTGTTTGAAGAGCTTTCATCTTGGTCAGTATGTAAGACTCCTGCCATGTAATCACAAGGTAAGAGGTTAAAACAAGTGCCTTTAATATTAAAGACCAAAATCTTCACATAACCTGTTAACTTGTAGCACGCCAGATTGTGCAGTTGACACTGATGTTATCCATAGCTACATAATTTGGAAGTATATAGGACCCAGCCAGCCTTTTAATTTTTTTTTTTAGTTTGTACCAGCAGCCTTAAGCAAGCCCACAGAAGATAGCCCTTTTCAGATTTACCTTGTTCTAGTTTGCCTGATCAGAAGTATTTTCTTTCACTGATAACCTGATAGGAGTAATGTAAATCCAAACGTGCAGTCTCAGTAATTACTACTGCCCTTTAGCCCAGACTTGACATGGAACACAGTCAGAAGGGGAATTAAAGAGAAAGCTACTAAGGATCAGTGCTGATTCCCCATTTTAATGAGCATGTGTAATCTTATTCTGTGACAGTAACTTCATTGTTGGAGCACCTTAAGAAGTGTGATCTAAACACCGTTTGTAGCAGCCTGTAATTTTTTAATTAGCTTCCTTTAGCCTGATAGTGCCCCAAACTTAGAGTGCATTCATTCTGTACATCAGCAGAATAGCACCCAGTGAAGTTCCTCTTGGTTTGCATTCAGAACACTTGAAGAGTCTTAGAATCACTGCTACATTGATTAGCCCATATTTAGTTAAGAAATATTATGAAAGAGGTGACCTTTGTTTTTTAAGTTTCATAGGGAATGTATTGACTGTTGGCTACTACAACGAAAAAACACATGTCCGATTGATGAATACGTTATATACAATCCCCTGACTTGGAAGGATACACCAGCCAAACAGGAGAACTTCCCAGCAGGTTCTCATACAAGTGTTAAAAAACTTGTAAAACAAGGGAAACCGGAAATCTGTGTCTCTGGAAGTCAAATTTATCTCAAGCAAGGATCATCTGCATATACATCAGGAAGATCTGAAAGTAGCTTCAAAAAGCTTTCTAATAACAGTGTGCCTGAAACTCAAAAGGATTTAAGAAATTTTAGCGACCTCCATCTAGGTAATTCTGATCCTAACAGCAGCAGAACTCTATGCAATTTTCCTAGGCATGGTAAGGATATTTCTCTAAGCTCTTGTGAAGCAGCATTTTCTGTGAAGTCCAGCACTATTAGGAAGGCTGACATTCATAATGCTTTCAGAAGCCCACACTGGATTGACTGCAGCAAAACAAGGAAAGTATTTCCTATTAGAAAAGATGACTGTGATAATTCCACAAATGAAAGATACCCCAGGGAGCTGAATTTGAAAATCAATTTGTGTGCAACAAGCCATTCTTCAAAAAAAGGTAGTAAAGATATGGGAAACACCAGCCACCAACAAAGGCTCCTAACAAAGCGACTGCCTAAGGATAACCATCTTAACTTTAAACAAACAAAAACAGATTTATTATTGGAAGGAATTCCACTGCATGCCAGCTCACGATTTCCTTATTTTAAATAACACAGCTGTATTTTTATTTCTATAATCCATACACAGGATTTCTTAGAGACCAAGACACAAGTTAATAAGTGAATAATCCCATGGCATGAACTGCAGATACTACAAAAACTAACCCACTGCTGTTGAGTGCTGCAAGAAATGTTTGCATTAGATCATCTCAAACACAGGAACTCATCTGGCTGGTGTAGACATGTTTCAGAAAATAGCTACATAGTTGTAAAATTGTCACCTTTTCTTATTTGCAAGTTTTTAACCTTCAGTCAAGTAAATGACTCAAAAGAAATGTAAAATGTAGAGAGCTTTTATATTCTTAAAGACCAATTAGATCAAAGTTCCTATTTAGAGGTGTAATGAAGCCAGACTGATTTTAACATTATTTCTGAGTCATATCAAATCTGCTGTTTTCAGTGTGCAATAATAAAAGCAAGATAAGCAAGAAACTCTATATGTGTCAGGTACATGCTGTATGATCTGCTGTCACTTACTAATAATTAATTCCTCAAAAGAGGAGCTAAGCCTTGAATTAGCATACAGGAACCACAGCTATTTTCAACTGTGTATAGATGGCCAAGCCAAAGAACTACCAGGTGTAACAATTATTTCCCAAATGGCAATATAATAAATTTTAATTAATGTGGCAGGAGAACCTTTGCAAAGTGCTTGCCTGTAGTCTTGTAGTGTTTCTGAACAATGATGAAATTCATGAAATATGGCTTTTGTGAAGTTTAGAAAAGAGTAAAGCTTGAGAAATACTATCATCAGATTAAATTAAAAACAGGACATTATACCCTGGAGTTCCACTTAAGCTCTTCTATATCACAGAATCGTCCTGTTCTTCTACCTGGATTCTACTCAGATAATCTACTTTGAGATTTGTAGTTGGAATTGACATCTGTCTTCTGCATCGTGCAGACATGCAGAAATCTTTTATTTTTTCCTCAGAGCCACAGAAAATGTCTAAATGGAAGAGTGGAGAAGAAAGATTATGAGCAAGAGCAAAACATGAAATAATATTCTTGTTCTTTAAGTACCCCTTTCCAATTAAGCAAAATCAATTTACACTGTAATCTTAATTGCACTATCCAAGGAACAGTAATCAGATTTAACATGGATATAGAAGCCTTTCTTAACTAGAAATGGGACAGAGAATATGACCGAACTAGAATTGGTAAACTTCTAAGGACAATAACAGTCTTTTATCATTGGAATTATGGCGATGCGAAATACAGTCTTTTAGTATTACTTAGAAGTGTTAACACGAGACAAATACATTCCTACACAATGTATTATTTCAAAGACATTCAAATCAGTGGTTTGCAGGGACAGGACAAGGAGTAATGGTCACAAGATAGAGCACAGGAAGTTCCGCACCAACACGCGAAAGAACTTCTTCATGGTGAGGGTGATGGAGCACTGGGACAGGCTGCCCAGGGAGGCTGTGGAGTCTCCTTCTCTGGAGATATTCAAGGCCCATCTGGTCGCCTAAGCCTGCTTTTTTTGCCTAAAGCCTTAGAGCAGCCTGCTCTAAGGAACCTGCTTTGGCAGGAGGGTCGGGCCCTATGATCTTTTGAGGTCCCTTCCAACCCCTTCAATTCTGTGATTCTGTGAAATAAAAGTTAAGGGACTGATGACTTTTTAAAACTATTTTATTATATTGCATAAACTATGACATTTTACAAATCTTAGTTACATTTTTAGCAACAGACACACTGATACCGGAACAGAGATGAAAATACACCTCTGACAAAATATAAAAAGGTAGAAATACTTAAAACCTGGATGCTGAATATCAAGAGTGTTTTAAATGAACTATACCTGCTCTTGAGCGTTTCTGAAAAAGACTGCCACAGTAATGAAGTTTCTGTTGATTGTAAGGCTCCAACATGCAAGGTGGTGACCACAGCCGGTGTCATCAGCTCACCTACGTTTCAGCACCTCAGTAATGGTTTATGATCTCCATGCTCTAGTGTGCACGAAAAAGTTTTTACACAGTAGCAAGATGATGTAAAAACAGTATTGGACTGAAGTGCAACAAGTGCCTCAAAGGAACTGAATCAGTTAAATGGAAGAAAAAAGTACCACTGCACTTCTGGGGAGGCGCGAATATAGAAATGTAGATCAAAGAAACTGTAAATTGTAGATTGAAGAAATTGTAAAAGGTAGATTGTAGAAATTATAGAAATAAACTGGCCAAAAAAAAGTTACATTTGGTAAAATCACTTTTAAGCTGAGTGCTAATGCTAGAAATTATAAATACAGCTTTCACCCACCAGTCTTAAAATAATGTGAAGTCATTTTTTTTCTTTTAAATAAACATAACACAAAAAGACTGCTTTTAAATGAAAACAAAGCTCAAATTAAAAATCTCTTAATCAACCTTTCATATGAATTCTTTATCAGAAATGTACCGGCTCACAATTAGAAGTGTGGCACAATTTAGTGAGAATTCTATAAAAGAAGGCTCATTTTTAACTCTGTAGGCCTACCATAGTGTTTTGCATATGTATAATTCCACCAAATCTTAAACAAAGAGAAGCTTGGGTTATGTACACAATACAAGTTACGCCCCAAAATGAGATACAAATTAGTTCTAGAAAACAAAAATTAAATACATAAGTCCGTATAGTTTCTGCTTCTACTGGCAACAATGGTTAGCAGCTAAAAAAGGATTTTTATTATAATAATAATTTGTACATATAAACATATATTAATTTCATTTCTGGAGTTAAAATTCCAGTCTCATACCTGTAAATCCAGTAACTTCAAGATGCTTACTCTTGACTTATGAAGTTGAATCAGATCCCATATGTGGATTTTTAAAAGATACTACTAATCAGATTGCTAAAGATATACTTCTTTAATTTCTTTTCAAACATAAAATACAAAAGAGACAGGGTGTACAATCATCATCATGCAGGAGTCAGTATTCCAACATAAAAACACTATATCTGCCTTTGAAAATACTATAAAAGCTACAGAATTGCAAGTATGAATTAGTTGGTTTTCATGGTTGTTTTTTTTTTTTTTTGGCTAACAGAAAAAAAATTACCTGTGCTTTTCCAATAGTCAGGTGTTCCACTGATAAAATAAGTCTGATGAAAGACAAAGGCACTTCAGCAGCCTAAATTACCTTCAGATTTTCCTAATATGCAATGTTTCATATGCAGTAATAGGCAACGGATGTAGTTCACTGCGTTTTAATTCGTACACTGTTACGAGTAATGTTGTTAATCTGTTTTGCATTTTAACTAATATCAAGAGTTTCAAATGCTGTCCAATCATTTCATCCTCTTTGGTACAAACTACTGCTCAAAAACAAAGCATACCACTAAACATTTTCATTCCTGCATACTGGATTATTTTTGTGCATCACCTCTAACTCTGCATTGGTAAATAATGTTTCTAATCATCATAAGTTGTGCTTTCAGGTTTTTAAGATATCAGACTTATAAAACTGCCATTTTCTGGCAGTAGTATGAAGATTTTTCCTGTTAAACTAACAGAATTTTTAAGCATTCCCCCCCAAACTTTTTTTTTTTTTAATACCTGACATTTCATAACAATATGAAAATTACTATTAATTACCTTATTCTAGGGAACATATCCAGTCTGACGCACATATATATTATTTCATCTGATCACCTGCATTATTATACATCGAAGTACAGATTTGTGCCACATAAATTAATCTGCAGAAGCAGGCCTTCGCTAACTCCATTAACCACCTCATTGAAAACAGGTGACACCTGGAACTGGTATACCCATCTGCAAGAAGAATCTCAACATCATGATAATGTTTTGTCTTTTCCACCTATATGCGTATCTATGTACAGTATCTGGAATTAAAATTGTTTGGAACACAGTGTAGTCAAACTTTTTTTTTTTTTTAAAAAAAGATAAGGATGAGAAAAAAAGAATTCCAGTCACTAAGAGGTAATACAGGTTTCTAGTGCATAAATTCCAACATACAACTGGAACATGAAGACTCAGACAATATATTCTGTAAATACTGAATATAAATATGAAGAATTCTAAGTATTTTAGAATATATAGCATTTAAAATCCAAGATTTAATGCTCATGATAGGGCCAAGGAAGAACTCCCTGTCACTGTGTGCTTAGGGGCATTAGCAATTCTCACACATTTACCTTCCCATATACAGCTATGGGAATAATATCTCTACAGACTAGCTTCCCATATTCTGACACAGAAAACAAATTATATATTTATTTTGCATATAAAACTAGACTTTGGAAAAGCCTTCTAAAGTGTCACCAGCAGCATAAAACATTATGTGATAAATGCTAGCAAGTTACACACATAAAAGTCGGTACGTGGAATCTACAAAGCAAGGAAAGATAGCTGGTGCTTGCATGGCATGGATAGAAGCAACAGCTAAAAACAGCTTAGAAATGGTATTATCAGAACTGCAGCACGTGCACTCCAGAGAAAAATTTGAATACTCTACTAAAATAAACGCTCATACTCTTGTTAGCAAGAGAAGGGCAACAGTCTAGTAGAGATGGCAATCCACAAGGAAGATGTTAATAGGAGGTGTCCTACATGGGGGTGCTATGGCTACTCCACAGCCTCTAAGGACATGTATTTACATACAGCTAAATCATCTCTATTGAAGATGAGAATATACAGATCATTATTTCAGAAAGAAATTTGTCTTGCTTCCTACTACCAAAAAAGTCTAGCAGCAAGAAACTCTTTCAAGAACATGTTCACCTCTGACTTGCTTTGCTGCCTAGAAGCTGAAGTGCATCATTTGCACGTGGTCTCTGAAGAGGCCATTCAGTATGCCCATTATCTGTATGTCCAAGTTAAAACTGTGACTAGATCTAGACAACCAAAAAGCTCATTTAGACTTGATGGTTTAAAAACAAACTCCACTTTTCACTCATGACCCACTGGCATAGCAGACAAGAACCTGCACCAAATCAGTACAACTTTTGGTACCGTTCTTTTAAAATCTCGTACTCATACATACTCGTGTTGATATTTTCAACATTTCCAATCCTTTTTCTTTGGTGCCCAGATACCTACTCTGATGCAGAACAGGAACGCTGGAGTGCAAAATTTAATTCCTCTGAACTCACATGAATAAAGCCATTTACTGTTGTCTTTATCTTTTGATGATTTTAGGTAAGTTTAAGGAATTAGGTGGTCTTCATATCTACAATGAAAAAATGCATTAAGAACAAAAAATCTGCTATATATTTAATTTACCAGAGTTGAACAAAGTTAAATATAGAGACATCTCATTTGAATTTCAACAACTTGAAATCATTGTCAGGGATCTTCTGTTAATTTCAACAGAATGTACGATGCTATGTCTTTGAAAAGGAACTCATCAGCACTGATGCAGCTCTAAGGAAGGTATTACTGAACCTTGAAAGCTAAAGCTTCCAAATCAAGTGTGCATCTATATGAAAATATAGATCTGAAGATATATAATGGATAATTAAAAGTATGTAAACAAAGGAAAGGATGAGAACATCACCACTTTGGGCTAGAAAGTTAGTCATACACCAAATCCAGTGAAACTGAATATGGGAAAATATGAATTGTAAAAAATTATTTGGTATAAGAAAGGTGAATTACAGTTACCTAGAGAAAGTACAAAAGGCATGCTAATATGGCAAGCAATCTTAACATCTAAAGTAGATGAATGGCACCATTAAACCTAAGTCTTCTGGCCAAACAAAATCACAGATACCAGAAAAAAGTTGGACTAATGTACTGCTATTACCTTTCTGGTTACCCTACGTATTCTTCTAAAAACAACACCAGACAACCAACAATCCCAAAAGAAGAGACACAGCTCACAGCACAGTTTCCTGAGTCAATGCTCCCAGAAGCCCAGCCACACAGGACAGTTCCTGACCCTGAGCATCACGCTGCCACATCCTGACTGCAAGGTTGGGATGGATCTTCATATGTACCACCACCTTTCACTCCCTGTTTTTTCCTGTAGAAAGAAATCCTGAAGCACAGGCACAGAAGAAAATCAGGGTGTACTTCACCAACAGTAACAGATAACTGGCAGGGGAATCAGAACTACAAGACAGACAACTCAGTGCACCTCACCTTACAATTCACATACAGGCATAGTATGCTTGTATTGAGTCTCAGTATTGAACCTAAACGACTACAAACTAAGGGAAATATCATTATAAAGCTTTTTTAGGATGATTTGTAATCAAACTGCCAAAGCCAAAATGCTGAAACTTATTTCATCAGGGAAGCATCTTGAAAGCCATGGAAAAACATCCTATACACCATACAAAGCACATTGAGGTGTTGTGTATGCTTTTCTGTTAGCCAAAGCTGAAACTATCACTTTGACAAAGATGAACATAAAAATAAAGAATATTCCAATGGCCTTTTCCTTCCTCTATACATATCATAGTTACATTTCATGCATTCATGACTTTTGGTACGTTTAACTCTAAGATGAGTCATAAGTAGTATTCATATTGCATTACAGACCAAATTTTAAAGTCTGCTTCTCATGCTCATAAAAACCACAGCTTTTGAAAGCCTGCTTAGCCCCTCTACGATGCACAACCTGGGACAAAAGTAGCTCAGACTAGCAGAATGTAGGCACATAAGCCTCCAATTATCATCTTTTTTTTTTTTTTAAATCATAAAATAAAAAGCAACAGCTTTCCCATTAAAAGGAACTATTACAAAGGTATAACTTGTCCAGACTTACTTCCTTTTCCATTATGGGCCGAACTCTTAACATACACCTGCAGGAATTCAAGACAGTTTTGGAGCAAAACTGGTTCAACAGTAGGAAAGAAGAGATTTTAACTGATAAATGAAGCCAAAACAAGCCACTAGGATCAGCAGCCTCAAATGCTAACAGAACCAGTCCCGTTCTGCTGAGGTGGACGCTTCCTAGCAGATGCCAATCTTCAACATCCACAGCTTGGATCAAAAAGGACTATAACAGATGGGCAACATCTTAAGACAGCAGAGATCATGAACTGCAGTGGCCACACAGCTTGTACATGTCCCCCTGCTGGCACTGCTGTTTGGAATGGTAACCTTTTGCACACAGATGGACACAGAGAAAGGGCAGTGATGCTATAGAGCTCTGGTGATAAATCCAACAGAGCTCTTGTGCTGGTGTCACGGGACTACATGATGAAGCGTTGTACATCATACAAAGTAGCAACAGATCCCTAGAAAAGTTCACATAGAAAATACTGTACAGATGGTCACATTTATTAGGAACAAGGCTGAGGAATGGCTTTAACCACTCTGCCAATGCATTAGCAACAAGTAAAAAACAAAAGTTGTGCCTACATTTCTCGCTGTGCATTCTGAGAGGTGCATCCAAGAATGACAGACTAATTAAAACGTGGGCCTTCCCTATACTGCCATCAAACTTAGGAACTGGAGAGTTTTAATTTGTCTTTCCCTGTAATCAATTCATATTGAATATCAATTGCCCAGTTGAAGTAACTCAAACTGTACATTAAAAAAAAAAATTAACTTTTCTTGATACTAGAAAACAACATTTCCCTTGTAAACCCAACACTGCAGAATTACGCAAGCAGCCAAGAGGTCAACAACCAGCAGGGAGAGCAACAGCACAAAGCACGTTGTGTTCTAATTTATAGGAATAAGTGGCCTCTCCTCTCTTTTCTTCCAAATATTTGTTTTGCTATCTCTTTTGGTCATAGGTGGTCTCTCCCTTTTCTTAGGTGAAGGGATACTGGATTCCTGACTTCCTGACACAGTTTTTCTTCTTAGACCTTCTTCATCATGATGTTCCATGACTGGCCCATTCCCGCCATCCAAAATGTGCCTCACAGCCTGGTCCTCTGGAGTGCACACAGTGGTCCCACTTTCACTGCTACTCAGATCCAGATCTTCCAAGTAAAGGATCTTTGAGTGTGGCATATTTTTAATGAAAGTTTTTTCTCTCTCCAGTTTCCTACTAGGATGATGCTCGTTCATGTCCACACCAGAGTCCAGACTGGTATCATTACTCTCTGTTTTTCTGCCCTTTTTCAGATCTATAAAGGAATGCCTCACTTGAGCTATTGGCTTTCCGTCCAGGGACACAAACCACGCTCGAGGGTGCGGAGATGGCTTTCCTTTAGAGAGCTCCAGTAATGTTTGTTCTGAGATGCCTTGAAGTTCAGATGAAAACGGAGTCATTACAACTGCTTCATTCAGTGTCCCAGGAACAGAGACGGATTCCAGTAAGCTGTTAGTGTACCGGCCCCAGCCTGACGTTTGAGAAGGTAAGCCTTGTTCACCATCTAACGTGCTTTTTTCATCTCTGCAGACAGAAGGCTGTGGATGAGAGTGCGCTGGCATTTTCGGTAATGTCTGCATGTAACCGTCTCGATTCACGGGCTCCATCATGGGGTTATATACTAACTGCCCTTTCCTTGGCAAAGTTGCTGATTTAGCAGCATGCAATTGTTCTGGGGAATGGAAAAGGTCAGCAGTTTGAAGAATAGCAATAGGTTGATTGTAAATATGCATTAGATGTTCTGGGATATGGGAAAG